ACACACACACACCACCACCAACAACAACAACAGTGATAACAACAACAACAACAACAACAATAACAACAACAACAGCCACGACAATAGCAAACCACCACCACCACCACCAACCACAACAACAACAACAAAAACACCACAACAGCGACAATACAGCAACAACAACATCACCACTACCACCACCACCAATAATAATAATAATAATAATAATAACAACAACAACAACAACAACAACTACAGCCACGACAATAACAAACCACCACCACCACCACCACCAACAACAAAAACAGCAACAACAACACCACCACCATTAACAACAATAACAACAACCAAATAGAACCTACTTCCCCACCACCAAAACAACCAGCACCAAAAAACAGCAACAGCAACATCACCACCACCAACAACAATAACAACAACAACAACAACAACAACAACAACAACTTCACCACCACCACCACAACCACCACCACCAACAACAAAACCAACTTCCCCACCACCACAACCACCACCACCAACAACAACAACAACACCAACATCAACAACACCTGACCTGGGCAGTAGAAGTTGACCATGCAGGGCTGAGACTGGACGTTCTCGTAGTCGTTTCTGTCGCAGTCGTCACAGACTTTGGCTCGCGACCTCCAGCCCGCCCCGCACGACACGGAGCAGGGTGACCACTCTTCCCACTCCACCACCGGCCGGTTGTCCCCGCGAGACGCTGAGTACGCATGCCCGGAAGACATATCTATGTCGAAAAGGGGCGAGGAGAAAAAAAGGGGAGAGGGGGGGGGGGGGAGACAGATGTGGGGAGGGATATAATATTATGGTCGCTTTTAAGCACAGCGGGCTATCCCGGAAAAAAAATGCTGTTTTGAGAAATTTGAAGGTAACGTTTTTGCCCCTTGTTCAGTTTCTTTAAAAGACATGGAGAGTTTCCTCTGTAACCAACAAACATATATTGTTCACACAAATGAAACCAAACTTCTCCAATAGGCTGGGCAATACCCCCTTTTGGTGTAGATCAATATTTCTAGAAACCTCCGAAATCACAATGTAGGCCTACTGCTTATATTTTATTGTTGTATGCGTTGTAAAGCACCCATACCTACGTACCATAATATAATCGTGGTAGGACCGGAATATAAATGCCAGTCATTATAATAGAACAACAGCAGCAGCTACAGGAATCCAGCCTACCATAGTAAACTTACATCTCCCTCCCGGCCTTGACCAGATGAAAGGCGTGGTGGTTTCAACTTTGGCTCGTTGCGTCATGGCTGGGGTGACAGGAGCTGTGAACAAAGGGGCGGGGCCACCGGGAGGTGGGCGGGGCGACAAATCTGAGCAAGGTGTGCATCGGAACCGGTTTCTGCCAAGTTTGATCTGAATAAAAAAAGAAAAAAAAGTTTACGAACAACACTCTTCTGACAAGGGCTAAGAATGTCAACAAGGATCACAACAGACAGACAGACAGACAGACAGACAGACAGACAGACAGACAGACAGACATATATATAGATAGACGGATAGATAGATAGATAGATAGATAGATAGATAGATAGATAGATAGATAGATAGATAGATAGATAGATAGATAGATAGAACCAGTGCCCTGTATAAATTAAATAACACAGTAAATTAATATACATTTCTAACGAGTATATTGAATAGACAACGTGGATTAATTGATTTATACTCCCAAAGCTTAGCGAATGCAATTGCTAGACAATTTTTCCAAAAGAGATAGGAATGGATAATGATATATTTCATATTCCATATTATTTCCTCTTCCTCCTCCTCCTCCTCCTCCTCCTCCTC